CCCCTTCGCGGCCGCCTGCCGCCGCTCCCACCCCCGCTCCACGCCGCAGCCGCCGCCCCGCCTCCCGCTCCTCTCCTCCCTCCCCCTCCCGGTGCCCAGCCCCCAGTCCCGGCCCCCGGCACTGCGCGGGGGCAGCTCGCAGCTCCCCCTCCCGCGGCGTGGAGGTGGGGTCTCCCTGAGCCTGAAGTTGGGGAGCGCCGCCTCACCCCCGCGGGCCCGCGGAGCACAGAGGGGCGAAGCCGCGCGCCGAGGGGCCCCAGCCCGTCTCCCCTCACCCGCTCCGCCCCCGGCGCCTACCTCCCCGGATCGCGGCCGTGGGAGCGGGGTTCGATCCCGTGATGGAGCGTGGGTGCCGGCCGGAGATCGGCTCCGGAGGCCCGGGCGGCGAGCGCCCAGGGGCGGGGGCCGGGGCGGGACCGGGCGCTGCTATCGGGGCTGGATTTCTCAGCTTCCACCCGGATTCTCCCTCGGCTCTCCCGGCCGATTCGGTGCTGCTCGGCGACCACGTGACGCGGGCTGCCTTTGACCCCTGTCTCCGAGCGGGTAGGGGGCGGGGGCCGGAGGGGGTGTCAGATGCGGGACCCACGAGGGCCTGGGGCGGCTGCCGGGCGTCCCAGAGGCGGTGACCCCGGGGAAACAAAGCCCGGAAACCAACAAGTTATTCGGGGTCAAAGAGGGAACAGCGCTGGGGGTCGGAGAGGCTGCGGAGAGAACGAGGGAGACAAAGACCTGCGCCCGCCGCGCCTCCGAGGCCCAAGGGGGCCTCCCGGCTCTGCTGCCACTGGGCTTATGACAACCCCCAGGGCATCCTTGGCCGGCTCCCCGACAACCAGGTCTCAGCTGGAGTGACCCCTCCTGGGCAGGCGTTCCCGGCCCCCCACCACCACCTCTGCCCTGACTCTGGAAAAACACTTTATTTCCTTTATCGTGATTATCTGGTTCATTTACTGGTTTCATTGTTTACTAGAATGTCATCTCCCCCAACAAGTTGTTCCCAGCTGAATCCCCAGCGCCTGGCAAGTAACAGGCAGATGAAGAGGTGGATGACCTTGGGCAAATGTCTTCTCCCACTGAGCCTCAGTTTCCCACCCCCAGTGTTATTTCAACCATCTCAACCACCCTGAGAGTTAGGCAGAGTTACAGTGGTCATCCTCATCAAACAGATGGGGACAACAAGGCCCAGAGAGATGAGATGATTTCTGGGAGTCTGGTACCTAGATGGAAGCCGGAACCTAAACTCGGATCTGACTGCTCCAAGCAGGGGCTTTTTGCCATCCATGAGCCAGCCTGTGAATTGAGGGGTGGGAGGGGGGGTGGATTTGATTAGTGAGCCTTCAGAAGCTTGCCAGTGATGCAGATCACCACCAGGCCCCTCCCCTGGAGATCCTGATTCAGTGGGTCCGGGGTGAGACTGGGGCAGATTTGGATAACAGGGGATGGGTGTTTTCCTAAGGACTTTCAGAGGCTCTTGATTATCTAACTGTAGGAGCAAAGCTCAAAAAATATGTGCAACCAGAGCAGAGCAAAGGGAGGTAGAGAAGCCAAGCTTGACAGATGAGAGGAGGATAGGCTCATCTCGGTTCCCCTTGTGCTGAGGGGTAAGGGTTTTCAGCCAGCCCACTCATGTCTCAGAGGGGGAAAGAGGCCGAGGCCTGAACAAGGAGAGATGCTGGGGGATAGGACCAGACTCCTGACTCCCAGCCATGCCCATGTGCCAGCTCTGTATGGAGTGTAATCAGACAGGACTGAGCCTAATGGTGGTAGCCACAAGCCCCAACTACAGGCTGTATTCACAGATAGGCTTGGGGGCCAGCCCTGTGGCGCAAGCAGTTAAGTGCGCACGCTCTGCTGCAGCGGTCCGGGGTTTGCCAGTTCGGATCCCAGGTGCGCACCGACGCACTGCTTGTCAAGCCATGCTGTGGCGGCGTCCCATATAAAGTGGAGGAAGATGCGCATGGATGTTAGCCCAGGGCCAGTCTCCCTCAGCAAAAAAGAGGAGGATTGGCATCAGATGTTAGCTCAGGGCTGGTCTTCCTCATGGAAAAAAAAAAAAAACAAAGATAGGCTTGTGACTTCCTAGTACAACTCCAGCCACCCCACCAGTTTGTCCAGGGAAATCAGCATCCACCAGCAAATTCTCCGTTATAGTTTATATTCCTACGGTCAACAATCTAAAGTCCTTAAAGATGGTCTGGGTCTTGGGCAGGTTAAACAAGCCCCTAGAATCTTACTCATGCTCATCTCTGCTTTAGAAAACCGTTGCCATCCACATGAGGCCGTGTGAGCATCTTCTCTGTGCCAGGCACTGTGCTCCTGGTAAGGGAGATGCAGGCTTGAGAGAGACATGGGTCTGCACTCTCAAGAAGTATCCAGGCATATTTGGAGATGATCTGTATGTCCCTCCCTATGTCCAAAAGCTGGCTGAGCAAAGAGTTTGCTGGGGAGGCCCAGAGCAAGTGGTATGGTCCATAGGAAGAGGGGAGCAGAATGAAGGAGCTTTGGTGTGGGGGGTGGGGGGACACACAGCCTCTGAGCGGGATCAAAAGGAATGGGTGGGATCAGGGTGGGGAGATGGACATTCCCAGAACAAGGAACAACCTGTGCAAAGGCCACATGGAAAGTGCTCAGGAAAAGCTGAATGTTGCATGGGGGAGGTGGGAGAGAGGGAAGGTAGAGGAAGCAGGAAGGAAAGAATGAGCAAGAAAACTGAAGAGGAGGGTTAGGGGCAGATTGTGGGCGACCTTGTGTGAGGGGCTCCGTGGACTGGACGTTATCCTGGGGGTCTGGTGGAGTGAGAAGGCTGTAAGCAGGTGAAGGAGATGATAAGAGCCATGCTGTGGGAGGTGGAGGGGCAGGGAGGCCAGTCAGGTCATGGCGCCATCCTCCCCCCTGAGCTGAGTGAGATATGGTGTCTTACCAGTGAAGCTACAGATCCAGAGCAGGCTCGCCCTCAGCATTTGGGGGGCAGCCTGTGAGCTGGGGTAAGTCCCCATCACTGACAGCTCTTCCTACTCTTCTCAGTCTTCAAAGTTGCTGATAACTGAGCTGGGCCAAGGCCCTGCAGCTCACTGTCACCCAGAAAGCCTGTAGGGAGGCAAGGCCCAGGCCCCACCCAGAGGTGGTCCTCTGTGGGTCTAGGTAAACTGAGGACCTGCATTTCTAACCACACCCTGGGAGGTTCTGAGAAAGACTGTTGGGATGCCCTGCTCCTCCATTCCCTCAGGACCCACCCACCTCTCCCAGAGCTTTGGGGACTTTCTTTGTGCTGACTGTTCCCCCTGCCCAGACCCCCTTCTCAGCGCTGGGTGGCTTCCCCACTGCCCACTTGACAATTCCCTTGGCTGTCCCAAGGTCACCTTTATCCAGCTCCACAAGTCAAAGGCTGAACTCATTATCTTCTACCCAAACCTGCTTTGCCCCCTCCTCCTGTGTGCCCAATTCACATGTCCAGTCCAGAAATCTGACACCAGCCCCTTGTTCCCACATCCCATCAGTGAGCCAATCCCACTGGTTCTGCCTCCAGTTTTTTTCTCTAACCCAACCCCATTTCTTCTTCTTCATCACTACCACCCTTGTCCAAGCCACCATTGTGTCTCTGCCTTGGCCCATATTAATGGCCTCTTAACCGCTCTCCCTCCCTCCCGCTTTGCCCCCTCTCATCGTGTCCATTTCTTACTTAAAACCATGAACAGCTTCCCATTGCTCTCAGGATAAATTCCCTGCCTTATTGTCCAGCCTCCTCTCTTACCCTAAATGGTGTACTCCACCTTCCTCTTTACCTAATTCCTCGTTAAGAGTGTGGACTCGAGCCAGACTGCTCGGGTTTGAATGCTGGCTCTGCCACTTATCAGCTGTGTGGGCCAGTTTCTCAACCTTTCTGTGCTCAGTTTCCTCATCTCTAAAGTGGGGATATCATAGTATGTACTTCACAGGGCTGTTGTGAGAATTAAATGAGTTAAATATGTAAAGCCCTCAGCACGGTGTCTGTCACATGATAAGCACTATATTAGCTGAATGATTAATTCTGATCCTTTGGGTATCAGGTTAAATTTCGTTTCCTCCTGAGGCTTTCCTGATGCCCCTAATCTAGGCCACCCTTCCTGGTCTACATGTCACATCTCCCTCTTGGAGTTACTTGTCCGCTGCCTGTCTCTCTCTAGAATGTAAGCTGTGCGTGGGCAGGACTGTGTTTGTCTCGGACACCACTGAGCCCCAGTGCCCCACACAGCACATGGCACAGGGTAGGCAACCAGCACATATTTGCTGAAAGATGAAATGAAAGTCAATAGATTCATCACCAAACAGAGGGCATTGTCTACCCACACAATGCTCATCAATGTACTTCATTAATGCATTCATTTGACATCTTTTAGTACCTCTCCTATAGTCTCCCTCATCATCCTGGTACAGGAGGGCAAGTAGAGGGACACAGACAGATGAACAAGACAGATGTGGCCCCTGTCCTCAAGGAACATAGAGTCTACTGCAGCGGCAGACATAAATGCAGCAGAAGACACAATGCAATGTAACCATGTTATGATACTGGCCTGTAACAATTTTGTTTCCCAGGAGGTCTTTGGACAAGCACAAGTGAAAAGTAACTGAAGGCAGACACTGTTTCCTACTTAACCAGCACCTCCAGTTCCCGCAGGGTGGGTTAGTGCAGTAAGGGTGGGTCCTGTCCCCAGGACATTCAGCCCACCCTCTCTTTCTCAGCCTAAAGACCTCCTACTCAGCCTTCAGGGCCCCACTTAAGCAGCACCTCCTCTGCGAAGTCTTCCTGCTCCTTTCAGGGATCTGTATGGGCCCCAGTCATGGCTCTAGTGATTTTCTGGGACGACAGTGGGATTTGTCAAGGACAATCCAAATTTCATGTCATTTGCTTCCTTAAAAAAGTAAAAGGTAATTCAATGAATGTGTAACTACATGTGATTTCATGTTTGGACTTTAGTGGAGGCAGAAAATAGCCTCTGTCAAACCACGTGACCTGATTTGTGGTTTGGAGAACACGGTCACCATAATTACTGCATTGACCACATGGTGTAACAGCTTCCTCTCTCTCTCTCTCCCCTCCCCCCTCTCTCTTTCTCTTTCTCTTTCCCTGTCTCTCTCTCTCTCTCTCTCTCTCTCTCTCTCTCACACACACACACACACACACACACACACAGAGTGAGTTCAAGGACAGGGAATATTTGCTTCCTGGCAGACCCTGATATCTGTTAAACAAATGAAGGAGAAAATCTGTCAAATGGGCAGGTTATCCATGCTTCAGATGGACAATGGATATAAAATGTTCTAGAAGCCAACCAAAGACTGTCTGAGGTGGGGGATAGGAGCAATTAACAGCAATTACATACTTACTCTGGTGATGCCACCTGCTTTCCGTTTGTTACTCAGCAACCCAGAGAGCATGAAGCTCAGAGATGTGAAGCAACTTCCCCAAGGTCACCCAGACAGGAGTGGCAGAGGAGGCTTCAAATTCATCCAACTAAAAGACAAAGTTCTTGT